GACAAATGGTTGTCCAATCTTGTCTTGAAAAACTCCAGTGATGGAGCACCCACAACTCCAGGAAACAAAGTCTCCCTTTGATTAATTGTTCTCACTGTCAAGAAATTTATCCTTAGTTCTAGGCTGGATCTCTCTTTAACCAGCTTCCACCCATTGTTTCTTGTCCTACCCTCAGCTGCTTTGGAGAATAAGTTGACCCATGCTCCTCTCTCTGGCAGCCCCTCAAGTCCTGGAAGACAGCTAACATGTCGCCCCTAGCCCTTCTCTTTGTTAGGCTAGACATCCCTAGTTCCCTTAATGGTGCATCATTTTAATCACCTCTGGACACCATTTTAATCCTATTTCTTGTTAATTATATCGTCAGAGGAAATGAAAATCCAAAGACTATATGGCTTCCTGTGTTATGGAATAAAGAAATTCTGATGCCTACTTCCAGGAGGATATTTCCATTTGTATAGAATAACTGGGAAGTTATACATGGTTAATCTATAGGACCCGTTGCCACGAGAAAAGCAGTAGTAACCAACTTTAATCCTGGGATTTATTCATTGGACTTGTTTATGAATATAGAAATACCACATGTTAGGGTTGATTCTAACACAAAGGGTCATTGTATTTTATGTTTGCATCTGCACCAAAAAAGTCAGGAATTACTTTTTTCTACAGTTTTTTTCCCTTCTTGTCTGCATTTTCCCAATTTTGCTTTTTCCTTTCCTTCTTTTCTCTCTAATTTCTTTTTTCTTCTTTTTTTAATTTTTTGGTACAGGTAGTCCTCAATTTACAGCAGTTCATTTAGTGACCATTCAAAGTTACAACTTTACTGGAAAAAGTGGCTTATGACTGTTTTTCATATGACCGTTGCAGCATCCCCATGGTCACGTGATCAAAATTCGGATGCTTGGCAACTGGTTCATATTCATGACAGTCTCAGTGTCCCGGGGTCATGTGATCACCTTTTGCAACCTTCTGACAAGCAAAGTCAAGGGGGAAGCCAGATCCACTTAAGAACCAGGCTAATAACTTATCAACTGCAATGATTCACTTAACAACTGTGGCAAGAAATGGGGCAAAACTCACTGAACAAATGTCTCATTTAGCAATGTAAATTTGGGGTTCAATTGTGGTCGTAAGTCGAGGACTGCCTGTATTTTGTATATATTTTTTGGAAATGTAATAAAGTTTTATAAAAGGAAAAGAAAAGCAGTAATAACTAAATGGATTCTTCTTCCAATCAGATGAAGACCTGCCTGAAGAGGGCCCATCTTTGAAGAATCTTCTCCTGATGGTCCTGGTTCCATTGTTTGCTATTTTGATTCTCATTATATTAGTTGGTCTTTTTGTCTGGAAATGGGCCCAAAGCCGGCGGAGACATATGCCATTTGGGTCTAATGAACTGGGCGATGTGGATTTTATGCTGAAGAACTCTCTGGCTGGGGACAACACCTTAGAAGTAAGTATGCATTAGGAATGGCAATTCAATGCCACTGGGGTTAGTTGTTCACCTTATTCTAAGCCAAAATTGTTTTAATGGTGACAGGTTAGGCTCAAATATCGTGACCTGCACTTGTACTGGTTGCGTTTGGCTTGTTTTGCCTTACTGCTGTTGAATATTTTCCACTCTAAATTGTTCAGCCTTGTTTTCTTTGTTGATTGCCCCACCACTGGATGAATACATTTGGCTGTAATTTACATGTTCCCTGCTATTGTTAGCACTTTTGCCTTCTCCCATTGGAAGAATCCTAGAGATCCACTAAAGCAGGGGTCCCCAACTTCCGGTCCATAGACCGGTACCAGGCCGCGGCATGCCAGTTTGCACAAACAAGCAAAGCCCTATTTGTGGGATGCAGGCAGCACACAAAACCACGCCCTCTCCGGTCCCCAGAAAAACCTCTCTCTACATAACCCATCCCTGGTGCCCAAAAGATTGGGGACCTCTGCACTAAAGTTTCTTTCAAAGTAACTTCAATATGAGCTGTAGAGGAGAAGTTTTCTGAGATGAGAAGCCAGATAAGCTAAATCAAGATAAACCAAAAAGACGAAAAGTGCATTAGAGTAATTTCTGGCTGGTGTTAGATCTTGACTTGTTATTCTTTCCAACCCAAGTGAACATTGGAAAGAATTTACAGGTAGTCCTCGATTTACAAGAGTTTGTTTAGTAAACAAAATTACAAGGGCATTGAAAAAAGTGATTTATGACTGTTTTTCACACTTACTACCATTGTAGCATTCTCCCGAAGTCATGTGATCAAAATTCAGACATTTGGCAACTGGTTCATATTTATGACGGTTGTAGTGTCCTGGCACCATGTGATCCGCTTTTGCGACCTCCTATGACAAACAAAGTCAATGGGGAAGCCAGATTGACTTAACAATCGGGTTACTAATTTATCTGCTGCAATGATTCACTTAACAACTGTGGCAAGAAAGGTCGTAAAATTCACTTAACAAGCGTCTCACTTAACAACAGAAATGTTGGGCTCAATTGTGGTCGTACGTCGAGGACTACCTGTACAGAAAGTAGATCAAGACCGTCTTTCCTTCAGCTGCATAATATTTTGAAAAATGTACAGATTAGAAATGAATTTGGAATGACAGGAAAAACTGGCAAAAGAAATGCTGGATTTGAAAATGCGGGTGATCCAAGTAGACACTGCAGGGGGGGGGAATCCAGAAACACCCTCTGCGCGCACACACACCCCCAATGTATCTCTGTAGGATAAGCCCTTGAGCAGCTGCTTGGAATATTCATGATTGCTCCATTCTAAGCTTCCCTCCCTCCCTCCCTCCTGATTATGTGGCCCCCAGCAGAGCACATACTTCCCATGCACATGTACAGGTAATCCTTGACTTACAACAGTTCATTTAGTGACCGTTCAAAGTTACAATGGCACTGAAAAATGGGAGATACAGTATGACTGTTTTACAGAGTTACGACCTTGGCAGTAGCCCCACGATCACGTGATCAAACCTCAGAGGCTTGGCAACTGGTTTATATTATGACCGTGGCAGGGTCCCCGGGATCACGTGATCACCTTTTGCAACCTTCTGACAAGCAAAATCAAGGGGGGAAGTCAGATTCACTTAACAACCGGGTTACTAACTTAACAACTGCAGTGATTCACTTAACACCCGGGACAAGCAAGGTTGTAAAACGGAGCAAAGCTCACTTAGCAAATGTCTCACTTAGCAACAGAAATTTTGGGCTCAGTTGCGCTCGTAAGTCGAGGACTACCTGTATACCAAAAAGGTATGCCGTACAAAGAGAAAGCAGAAACTACACAGATGCAACCTATTACTTCATCACACAGAAGAAAATACAGACACCTCCTGTGCAGTTAACTGCAGTTGTCACTGCAGGTAAAAGGGTTAGAAAGAATTCCAGATATTGGGGCGGGGGAGAAGCCAGCAAAAGGAAGATCATGGTCAAAATGGGCCAGATTTTGCCAGGGATTACAAGGGGGGAAAAACCCTGAAAAAAGTTCCCATTGCATTGCTGTGATGGAAGCAATTGCCACATAATGCTGCCAACCCCTCCTTCCTTCGTGGGCATGTGGTGCAGAGTGCATCTTACTAAGGAGTTGGAAATTCCAGAAGCTGGCTTGCCATGCTTATGACGCTCACCAAAATATACCTGTTCATCTATTCCTCTAAGGTTCTTCACATGTTTGATTTGTATTCAGGTCCTGCTGAATGATGACTGCACTACTGGAAGTGGATCTGGGCTGCCTTTTCTAGTCCAAAGAACTGTGGCTCGGCAGATCACCTTGGTTGAATGCGTTGGTAAGACAAGGAGAGAAAAAAATGTCAGAATTGTCACCAGTAGAGAACTGCTGAACCTTTTGGAAACAAGAATATACGTTCCAGTTCTCTGATAAAATATACAGATTTGACCCATCTCTTTATTCATGAGACCTATTTGTGTCTGGCTTGCACTTTCAGAACACTTCCACACAGCACTGTTTCTACTGCACAATCCTTGTAAAGTGTTTTGAGCCTTCAGACCGCAGGTTCTGAAGCAACTGAACTCTGAGAGATCCCACCCCCCAATTTGCAAAAAATAAAAATTCAATATTGTTAGTACCCTCCCATCCACATTTTAGTGCATGTTGTATAATTCTGAATAATAGTAATAATAAATAACAACAACAATCTCCCAGTGAGGCACTACCTTAACGTGGTTGTGGGGCTTGTGTGCTCAAAGGAAGATGAGAGCTATGCCAGAGGTTCAACCATACTGGACAGGTCTCATCAGAGGAGTCAGACAAAGAGTGTCTCTCCCATAAAAAATATGGTGAGACATAAATTTCAGAAAGCCATACCGGCTCAGATGTTGCCCGGGTTAACAAGATCTGTGGTAGTTGTTGGAGTTCCTGGATATCTGGTGAAAAATGGGCCACAGGACTCAGGACTGTTGGCTGAGCAACCAGGGCCAGCAGCTGCAGAACTACTGGAAGAAAAGGTGTTTACCCATCGCAAATACACAGTGATTGAAAACAAAGAAATAATGATCTGTTATTACAGATCAAGTCCAACAAGAAGAAAATATCTGAAACGAATGCACCAGTTCTGAAAAGAACAATATCCAGAATCAGAAATAACAGAACAGAGACTAGCAGATCAATGTCAATTTATAATACGAAATAAAGCATTCACAGAAACAGAACTGGACGAACTGCAAAGGTTTACCCAGGGCAAAGAAATCAAAGCCCTGCCAGAAGTAACTCAGAATGCAGAGGCAAACCAGGGGGAGTTGGCAGTAGAGGAAGAACAAAGCGCTCTAACTAAAGAAATAAAAGCATTGAAACAAAGAATAACTGAGCATCTAGAACAGCACAAAAACAACAGAATAAGGATGCCTGCATTGAAGCTTGTTCCAAAGAAACAGCTAGCACAAGCATTAAAAGATGCAAATACTGCAATATCAAGTATAAGCACCAACTCACTGCAAGAAACAAATCAACTAATGTACAGCACAGCTGGAGTTATAACTGAATACCTGGGATGCAAAATCAACAAAGAAGAAAAAAAAAACCAAACAGTGCACCACAAAAATGGAAGGTTAGACTAGAAAATAAGATCAGCAAAATAAGGTGCAAAATAAGATTCTCTGATGATATCTGTAACACCATCAAACATCCACATCTACCTATCCCAGGTCCTTGGTAAGGACTTGATAGGTAGACAAAAATGCCAAACCCAGACTGAACATCTAGCTGACTGTGCGATGATCAAAAATAATACCACCATTGGCATTGACAAAATCACCTTCAGTCAATTGCAAAAGGCTGCTTTACCTGGAACAGCTTACATCATGCAATACCTTTAATATTATTAAACAACAGCATCTGCCTATCCCAGGGCATTGAGAGAATTTCATAGGTAAATAAAAAAGCCAAATCCAGTCTAAGCATCTGGCTAGCGGTATAACCAGCCATAGTAATATATTTGTAATGGGGTGGATCTGCTTGGCTACAAAGCATTATTCCTCCTCACAAATCTCACCTAGAGCCGTGAAGGTAGCGTGACCTCGCTATATTAATTTCATAACCGGATGCTTTCCACAAAGCTTCTAATCTTGGTTGTAGGTTGCCCTGAAGGTTGCCGGCATGAGGGGGAAGACAGACAGCCTTGGAGCAGTCCAATTTCCCCTGTAAACAGAAATACAGAATACAGAGAAGAGCAACAAAGATGATTAGGGGACTGGAGGCTAAAATATATAAGGAACGGTTGCTGGAATTGGGTATGTCTAGTTTGACGAAGAAAAGGACGAGGGGGGACATGATAGCAATGTTCCAATATCTCAGGGGCTGCCACAAAGAAGAGGGAGTCAAGCTATTCTCCAAGGTGCCTGAGGGCAGGACAAGAATCAATGGATGGAAACTAATCAAGGAGAGAAGCAACCTAGAACTAAGGAGAAATTTCCTGACAGTTAGAACAATTAACCAGTGGAACAATCTGCCTCCAGAAGCGGTGAATGCTCCAACACTGGAGGTTTTTAAGAAGAGACTGGACAGCCATTTGTCCGAAATGGTGTAGGGTTCCTGCCTGAGCAGGGAGTTGGACTCGATGACTTCCAAGGTCCCTTCCAACTTTTATTATTATTATTATTATTATTATTATTATTATTATTATTATTATTATTATTATTATTATTATTATTATCATCATCATCATCATCATCATCATCATCATCATCATCATTTTTCTTCCAGACAAGATTATCCCACTATAAAGCAGAAATTTATTAGCTCAGTTGCTGAATATAGAACACATCATGAGAACACAGGCTTGCAAAGCTGATTCTGTAGAAAAGAAATAGTCTGTCTTCTTTTATGTTCAAGGATTATTTGCACATGGTCAAATTCAAACACTGGATAGTCTTCCTACTGCCTGAAGTACTCTGGTCCATTAACAGATGCTCCACACAAACATGTTAATGTTATCACTCAGTTCTGAGCCATTTCATTAAACATGCTTGTTTCTGTTATCTGCAAGCCAACCTAAAATGGAGATCAAGCCTGCACTTGGGCTGATCTGCCTTAACTCTGAGGTACTGAGAAGAAAATTCTTAACTTAATGGATAAACATCAGGCAAGGAAAGAACGGTGTGTCATCTGTTATTATTTTCTTTTTTATCTCTTATTCCCAGTAGCAAAATGTTTTGGAAACTTATATTTGACAAAGAAACTTTGTATTCTGCTAGCAATCATCCTTCAAATGTTTTGTTCTCAAGCCTTTAAAAGTAATTATATTTAGATTCTGAATGGGTTGCATATTTATCCATAGCAGTTTTGTAAAAATAGGCTAAGAGAGCCAACTATTCCTCAATGACTATTTCTGATCAAATTGATCAAGGGATTTTTTTCCACTGTTGTCAATTCCTGCAGCTGCTCTGGCAAAAAAAAAAATGAGTCAGGCATGTTAGACATTTAAAAGCTAACATTTCATCTAATAGGAATATGAAATATCAATCAGCTCAGGCAAGAAGTGAAGGCAAGTGAAAAGTTTGAAAATTATGTTCCTTTCCCTCACAATAGGCAAAGGACGCTATGGGGAAGTGTGGCGTGGTACTTGGCATGGGGAGAATGTGGCTGTCAAGATTTTCTCTTCCCGTGATGAGCAGTCATGGTTCCGTGAGACTGAGATTTACAACACGGTGCTGCTAAGGCATGACAACATCTTAGGTGAGTGGAAACAATGCAGAAATTCAGCAATTCTATCAGTCCCAAGAAGTCCTAGGCCAGGGCTTTTCAACCTTTTCACCCATTGTACCACTTTTAGGATATGGCAACATCCGAGTACCACCAGTCGCCTAGCAAGGTGTCAAAAACTTGATGACCAAAAAAAAAAAAAAGGAAAAAAGTGATAAAGTACAGGTAGTCCTCGACTTACAACAGTTCACTTAGTGACTGTTTGAAGTTACAATGGCACTAAAAAAAGTGCCCCCCAAGCCAAAGCCTGCCCGCCCAGTGGCGCTCTTCCTCCTGTCCGAGGTTTTCATCATTGTGAGCATTTCTGTTGAGGATTGGCCGTGGGTGTGGGGTGAGGGGTGTTTGGTTTTTATTCCCCCCATCTGCTGGGTGGTTGCAGCAGGTTTTGGTCACTTCACATGACCCTGGGACACTGTGACCGTCATAAATATGAATCAGTTGCCAAGCATCTGAATGTAAATCACAAGACCCTGGAGATGCCGCAACATTCCAGCTGATCGGCGCTTCTTCTGGGCTCAGCAGAAGCGCCAGGATCAGCGCCGAGCTCCAGCTGGAGCCTGGCGCTGATCCTGGTGCTTCCACTGAGCCGTGACAGCCCCGAAGAAGCCCTGATCAGCTGAAAAGCGGCACTGATCCTGGTGCTTCCGCTCAGCCCTGACAGCCCTGCAGCTCCAGCCATTTCTCGCTCAGGCTTGTGTGGTGCTGCCACCAGTTCAGCTCATTCCCCTCCCCCGCTATCACTTTTCTAGGATGGTTGCGTACCACCTGTCAGGTGCCAATGTACCACAGGTGGTACCCGTACCACTGGTTGAAAAGCCCTGTCCTAGGCAAGCAAACGGAGGCAGTACATTTTAAGACCCATGTATTCTTTCTAAATTTGCATAAGGGATTTAAAGAGCTGAAGAAGCTCAGAGAATTAAAAGTCTTTGTCTCATTTGCACATACACACAACACATAATTTATAGGTACTTTGTTAGCTTCTTTGGAAATTTTGGAACTTTGGCAATGTATGCTGAGCTTTACCCTCCTTCCCTGCCCACAGGATTCATTGCGTCAGACATGACATCACGGAATTCAAGTACTCAACTCTGGCTAATCACCCACTATCACGAGCATGGCTCCCTCTATGATTACTTGCAATGCACAGTGTTGGACGTGGAGACCTGCTTGCGTTTGGCCACCTCAGTCATCTGTGGGCTCCTTCATCTGCACGTGGAGATCTTTGGCACCCAGGGCAAGCCTGCCATTGCTCATCGGGATCTGAAAAGCCGGAATATCTTGGTCAAGAACAATAAGCAGTGCTGCATTGCTGATTTAGGTGAGTGGATTTTAGAGCAAATGTTTTTGGCAAAGCAGAGGTGCTGATGTGTAACTTTTTCTTAAGGGCAAAAAAGCTTTCTAGGGGAAGTAATCTGAGGAAAGGTCTTCTATTTGCCCTTAGAACTTCTAAGCCAGTGGTTCTCAACCTTTTTAATGCCACGACCCCCAACCGGTCGTAAGTCGAGAACTAAATCGGTCGTAAGTCGAGGACTAAACTGGTCGTAAGTCGAGGACTAAACCGGTCGTAAGTCGAGGACTACCCAACCGGTCGTAAGTCGAGGACTTTCCCTGCCCGGGAGCGCCGCGCATGCGTGGTTCCGCCCCTTGCGCCTGCCGAGGCGTAGCTGGCAAGCGGCACAGATGGAGCAGGCCGACCGCCAGCTGGCCCAGCCCAAGGGAGGTAAGGCACCTGCCGGAAAAGGGGAAAAAAATGGCGGACAGCCTTGCTTGGCGACCCCCGTGAAATGGTCGATCGACCCCAAATGGGGTCGCGACCCATAGGTTGAGAATCGCTGTTCTAAGCCTTCTGCAGTCTGGTTGCCCTCCAGATGTGTGGGCTTCAATTCATAGAATTCCTACTGAGAATCCCGTAATTAAAATTTATATATCTGGAAGGTTGGGGGAGCCTGGCCTAACACTATACTTCCCACCCTGGGTGTATCTTAAATGACCCACCTCTGCTACAAATATAGGAACAAAATGTCACACAGGTAGGGATGGGAGGTACACTCCTGATTAGGATCCTAGCAGAGGGCTTAGAATTTAACTACTTCCTGTTTACTGCAATCCTTATCTGGATTAACTATATTGGTTGTGTGGTGTAAAGCAGGGCTTTTCAACCCATGGTACATGTACCACTGGTGTACTTTGGCACCTGGCAGGTGGTACGTGACCTAGACAAGTGTAGTAGGGGGGGGGGAATGAGCTGAAGTGGAGGCAGCACCTCAGAGGCCTAGAGGAGAGTCAGCTGGAACTGTGGTGTTGCCGGGGCTCTGCTGAGGGCTCAGGATTGGTGCACGCAGCTCCAACTGATCAGCATTTCCGGTAGCCTCTGCTATCACCAGGAGCAGCAGACAGTCCTTGGGGTGAGAGAATCAGCTGGAGCTGCAGGGCTGCCTGTTGGAATGGAATGGAATGGAATAATTTCTGAAATAACCACTCCTTTTCACAAGATCATATCTGACCTCCACAGTTCTTTTTGAAAAAGGCACATAATTTCCTGATTGCATCAGTGGTGACTATTCTTTTGTATGAGTAAACAAATAGATCTGTTCCCAAATCTGTTTACAGTGCAATAAATTCAGATAACTCATATAAACAAATCAACTCATATGTTTTAGAGGAAAGGACAAATAACCCATGATCATCAGCCATTCACACACTAGAAAGACCGGGTTTTCTGGCTTCAGATGTCAGCTTTTACCAGATCCCAGGGATGCAAATTAAACTTTCTGTTTAGACCATGGTTTCCCAAATTGTGCGGTGTTCCTCTGTCAGAGAAGTGCACAGAGTCCAGGGAGAGGTGAAGAACCATTTAGATCAAGGGTCCCCAACCCCCAGTCCATGGACCGCTATCAGTCCATGGCCTGATGGCAACCAGGCCACACAAGTGGCGGACGAGCACAGGAAGCTCCATTTGCACAAGAGATGTGCATGCATGTGAAACCATCCCCAAAGGTACTTCTCAGCTCCAAAAATGAAGCAAGATTCTTACTTCATAGAAATCCAAGTACAAATAAAGGAAAAGAATAGGCAGAGCTGTGGTGCATGTGAACTTGTATGCCGTAGACAAAGGCACATATATATACCTTCATCCCACTAAACTGAAGTGCATTCTCGTGCTCTCTCTGTAATGCTATACAAGCCACAAAAGTTATGTTATTCTCCTAAACTCAGGGTAATGCCTTTTTTCCCAGTCAAATCTGACCTTTTGGATGTTTAGCATCCTGGTGCAGGATTGCCTGCTTATAATGATGGAATTGCTACTCTTTTTCAGGATTGGCAGTTATGCATTCCCAGAGCAGTGATTACTTGGATATTGGGAACAACCCACGAGTGGGCACCAAACGCTACATGGCACCTGAAGTTTTGGATGAACAGATTCGTATGGATTGTTTTGAATCCTTCAAGCGGACAGACATCTGGGCTTATGGTCTGGTCCTGTGGGAGATAGCCCGAAGAACCATTGTGAATGGTAAGGAAAGCCAAATGGAAATAAGTTAAGATGTGGTATTCTAGGGCCTTGCCTCATGGTTCAGGCAAAGTGCAATCCATTTATTCTTGCCACAGGATGTTTATACCATGGTAAGTTGCAAGTCAGATAAGATTCTAAGTTCAAAAGGAGAGCTCTACAAAAATGGATGGATGCTTAGCAGAAATCAATCTTCTCTGATCCAGACACAATCAGATGTTTTTTCTATTAGTCACGGGACTATTTTAAATATCTGAAATAGCATCTTCATCTGCAACATTTAGTGGCTTCTGGCAGTGTGCCCACCTGCTCATAAAAGGGTAAAATGGAAAGAATATTTGGAGGTCAAAGAGCTCTCAGAGCAATTTCTCTTGCTTGCAGGGAGTGTTTTGTGACTGGCCACACCTACCAGGTCAGCCATTTTGTCAGGAAGCCATATGCTAGCTACCTTCTTGGATCAGGCCAAATGTCCATTGAGTCCAGCCATTTTAGCGGTCTGTATTACAGACCCAGAGTCAGTAACGCTCTGGCATTGCTGCTCCTCATCAACTAGGATTCAAAGGTCTATCTTGTGTTCAGAGGTCTATTCCCTCTTAATACAGAGATTGTGTTTAACTATTTAGAATTTCAGTTATTCCTCTCCTTCATGCCAATGTGTTGCCATAAATGGAGGAAACTGTTTACTCAATTTTCTGTATCAGCAGGCCATCTGATCAGCAGTGGTTGAAATCTCACCAGATGGTCGTCTCTGTATGTTACTTCATGCTGGATTCAGCTTTCAACACAGTCTTACAAACATTTGTAAAGTTGTCTTTGCAGTGCTGTGGCCAAAGCTAGAACTTGAACATATATGAGTGGAATAACAACCAGCTTTTCATAGCTCTGTACCAACTCTTACCTGCTCAGAGATCCTGTAAACAGATCCTAATTGTGTGGCCTAGAAACAGTTTTAGGACAGTTCATACATTGTGTTGAGCATAATTTGCTCAACTGTAATTTGCTGAATAGATTAAAACTGGCAGAGTTCACAGAGGGCCATTGGTTCTTTCAAAATGGCAGCGGGCCATCTCCGTTCCTCCATCAGCCCCAGCCAACAGGGAGAGAGATTGCCTGGAACTAGAGTCTTAGGTTGTCCACCTCTTTAATTTGAAGGAAAAACCTCCAACTTCTGGCACTGCAGCTGAGTTCCTGCTTTATTGAGGATCTGGAATCTCAGCTGCTGTTAGAGAATGGAAGGAGCCGGCCCTGCCTGCCACTCTCCCCCTTGCATTTGGCTCCCTGTGTAGAAACAATCGCTAATCAGGCCTGTTAATGGGGATGTTTTTGACTGGCCTAGTTGGAAGTGTTTTCATTTTTCTTTTTCCACACGAATGATTAGCTGTAAATTATAAACACTGTAATCTAGTGTCAGCGCCCAGCTTGCAGATTAAAGGGACCATTAGACTCAATCAGCACTTTGTTTGTTCAACTCTGATTAGGAAACAAGCAGCATCACAGCTTAGTTTGGCAACTAGCCACCTTCAGGGAACTTCGGCTATCCTCTGACCAACGCTGCAGTGAAGCTGCCTCTGCTCTTACATTGGCAAAACATGCAGAGGCTTCCCATGACAGTTTCACAGTTGATCCCCCCCTTTTGTACTTTTAACATTCCATCAGGGAAGAGGCTGGAAAAGGATCCCACCTCTGAAGTGTTCTCACCTGCTGCAGACCAGGCTATACAAGCTTGCAGTGGGGATCTCTGAAAACCAAGCAAAGATCCAATGTATTTTCGGTGGGTGTTTTATATGGTTGTGTTAAAGATCAAAGCGATACAAAACTGATATAAAGTTGAGAAAGAAAAGAAAAAAAAGAACTTAAAGAAAAAGCTAGAAGACCAAGAGAGAGAGAGAAAGAAAAATAGAAAAGAGCGAAAAAGGTACAAAGCAGTATCCTCCTGATCATCTTTACTGCAGTTATAAGAACAGCTAAAAATTTATCTCTTACTCTGTTACAACACATGATTCAAAATCATAAATCATAAATTCATTTTTTTTTAGTTTTGTGCAAAAACTCCACAAAGCGTTTCCAGTCAGCAGTAAACATGTTTTTTTGTTTCCTCTGCTCAAAGAAGTCAATTTAGCCATCCCAGCAGAGTCTATCATCTTTACCAACCATTCTTCTATCCTGGGTAGTGCCAAATCTTCCAATATTGTGCAAACAATAATCTCACTGCATTTTTGGATTTCCAGTTACTGGCCCCTGGCAATTAGCGCTTGTGCAGAAACTGCCCTAGAGTGAAAAAGGAAGACAGTGTTATCTATAAACCTGTACATTTTCCAAGGATCAAAAGTATTCAGTTGGTAGACTTGGATCCATGGAATAGGGATTTGAAGAATTATGTTGCTCAATAGTAAAGCTTCTATGTTGTTGCAAAAGGCCCTAGTTCAGTGATGGCGAACCTTTTAGAGGCAGAGTGCCCAAACTGCAACCCAAAACCCACTTATGCATCGTCGGGTGCCGGGTGAGTGTGGCCCATTGGGTGGGCGTGGCTGCGGTGGTAACGGCAGACAGGGTGGGACTAAAAAGTTCAATCAATCAATTCCAACTTTGCAAGATCTTTTTTTTTCCCGCGAGAAGTTGAAATTGACTATTGATTGAACTTTTTTTTTTTTACATGGCGGTGGAGGCTAAAGCGAAAAGGTTTTATAAAACCCAGCTGAAGGCCTAGGACTGGGGCGATGGTGCACGTGCTCACAGAGAGGGCTCTGAGTGCCGCCTCTGGCACCCGTGCCATAGGTTCGCCACCACTGCCCTAGTTCAACCCTCTAAATGGGGGCCCCTTGCTGAAACTATGGGCAGGAATAAGCAATTCTGAGCTAAAAGCTTACCCTCTTGATTTGAAGAGCAGCTTAAGTACGGATATACATGTGAATCAAGAGCCAGTCCAGCACTAGGGTTAGAATGCTAGAGTTAGAACTAAGGAGAAACTTCCTAACAGTGAGGACAATTAACCAGTGGAACTGCTTGCCTCCTGGAGTTGTAGGTGCTCTATCACTGTAGGTTTTTAAGAAGAGACTGGACAGTCACTTGTCAGAAAGAGTATATGAACTCCTTGATCATAGGTTTGAACTAGAAGACATCAAAGGTCCCTTCCAGCTCTATTCTGATTGATTGAAACTATACAGTAGGTAGTCCTTGCTTTAAAAACAGTTATTTAACAACTGTTCAAAATTACAATGTCTCCAGAAGGGGCACTTTACAACTTGTAATAATATAAGAAAGCATGATGCCTTATAACATAAAAAAGAATACCTAGATTCATCTCAAGTTCACATACAAGCTCCCCATTCTTTCCTCGGTTCCCAAATGCATGTTGAAACAGCCATGTCTTTAAAACTTCCTAAATATTCCGGGGCGGGGAGGCAGTTCTCCTGGGGGGGGGGGCAGAGGCTATAACACACCCTGTTTCCCTGAAAATAAGCCCTAGCATGATTTTTTCAAGATGCTCATAATATAAGCCCTCCCCCCAAAATAAGTTCCAGTTATGACTGTCAGCCAGATGGACGCATTTAGTCCCGTATTTCCCCGAAAATAAGACCTAGTCAGAAAATAAGACCTAATGAGTCTTTCGGAGCAAAAATTAATATAAGACCTGGTCTTATTTTGGGGCAAATATGGTAGCAAGGTACCTCCTACAAGGAATGCTCAGAAATTAGGAAGATGCTATTTACTGATACTGACTGCTGGTTCATGTTTGAGATTGGATTGATTTGATTGAATGAATGAATGAATGAATGACTTTTATCCCACTTTTATTATCTTTTATAAATAATTCAAGGCTGCAAACATACCTGATATTCCTTCCTCCTCCTATTCCCCCCCCCCAAAACAACCTGTGAGGTGAGTTGGGCTGAGACTAGAATGACTAGTCACCCAGCCAGTTTTTATGCCTAAGGAGGGACTAGAGGTCACCACCTTCTGGTTTTTAGCCTAGTGCTTTAATCACCAGATCAAACTATGCACTCATTTTCAGATCAAAGGCTAAAGTTCTTGACTGAAGGGGAGGGAGGATAAGGGCCATGCTCCAAAAAGTAGACAGATTCAGAGAAAGATACAACGGATCCAAGAGCAAACGAAGGAAATCAAATCAAATTAAAATTCTATGAATAACATGGTATTTACTCACCATGTCTTGAGCAATATTTCTTTCCTCTCATATTACAATTAATGTTTTACTGCAACATACTTTATGAGCTTTGGAGGCTGCCACTAAGTTTTTCTGGGACCATATTTGCTCCTAAGGAGAATCAGTTTGTTTGCTTGGTGTTTGTTTTAATTTACAAATCGCCCATCTCCCAAATGACTGGGCAGCTGACAACTAAAACTTGCACCCCCTCTGGTTTTTCCCACCCATGCTTGGTGATGCAGGAAACTGAGTGTGGGATTTTCTCTTTGCAAAAGAGGAAAGGGAGGGAGGGAGGGAGGGAGGGAAGAAAGGAAGGGAAAGAAAGAAAGAAAGAAAGAAAGAAAGAAAGAAAGAAAGAAAGAAAGAAAGAAAGAAAGAAAGAAAGAAAGAAAGAAAGAAAGAAAGAAAGAAAGAAAGAAAGAAAAAAAGAACAGAGCTTGGTAGGAGCCTTTTCAAGTTATTAAATGGCATAGATTTTCATGAGCTGCATTAGATGCATAGAGTAGGTCTCCTTTTCTGCAAAAGAGATGTCCCTTTCCTTTTTTCAAGAGAGGCACTCTAAGGACTAAATAACTTTACTTACTCAAGGCAGAAGGAAAAAATGAGCAGATGTTTTAACAGAGAAATACCAATAGCCCACTTTGTCCAGGCTTATTGGAAGGTGCTCTCAATGTGTAACTCTAGGTTACCACAATACTAACCCTTGCTTCTGAATGGTCTCTTGCTGTTTGGCTTCTTTTTGGCTTAGCCTAGGATGCTCCCTAAACCCAGCCATTGTACTTTACAATTTATAGCTTAATGTGAACTCAGACCAATGATGTCTTATGCAGGAAGCTGATTAAGCAAACAACGGCTCAGCTCAGTGCCTAAAGCTAGCCATGTTGATGCCTGCTCTGTTCCAATTTGGTATTTTTCCCCCATAACTAGAGATTATACTATTGAAATTTGTGAGCTTGTTAATTTCTTTGTTCTAAATCTCATTACTTGTCTGATCCTTGACTACAGAAACAAGAGGCTTCGAAGAAAATAATGTCTGATCCTTGCCTATAGAACAAGAGGCTTCAAAGAAAATAGCGATTACATTAAAAACAGCCAAAATAAAATCCAATTGAGGCATGTATTAACTGTCTCCCTTTCAGCATAAACAGTACCAGTTAATAAGCCAATTACATTCACAATAAAGAACCTTTAACTGGATGCCTTTTACGTGCCCTAAGGTACATGGCCCCTCTCTGTCTTTGGAAGATCCTGTATTAGCTGCATATGAAAATGTGTTGGTATTGCTTGGCATGGCTAGACCACCTTGAGGAAAAATGGTACCATGTCTGTCTTCTAGATAGAGCAAAGTACTGAGATGTTCTTTACTGGAAGCCAGGACCCCGTCATTCAAAATCATGTTGTCAGATGGATTAGGGTCAAGTTACATCGAGCTGTTTAATATAGAAAGATTTAACAAAGCTATAGGTAACTGATGGAGGTCCTAGGTCAGGACCTAATAAATAGAGCTCTTTGGCCAGCAGGTGGCACCAAACGCATTAGTGCTGAGAACTGGTAGGAACCATTCTGAGCATTGTAAGGAAAGAGTCCAATGTACCTAGTACAGCTTTTCAAGTCATATGGCCGGTAATGCTGAGTTCAACAACCATTCCAGCTGTAACACCAGACATTTAAAAGTCCATTGATATGAAAGTTCACATCCAACTTCAGCGCGGTGTTCAATTATTGTATTATGCCTCAAAAATCTATTAAGAGTACACAAAGTAAGTTAAATACTGAATCCATCCACACCATGTTTGCGTGTGTTTTACAGTCTGCGTGTAGTACTTTTCACTAGGTCAGCATGGACCTGGGGCTGGTTCATGGATCTTCACGTTTCAGTGATTAGTAGATTGTGTTTGGCATTCCGAGGCTCGGGGCTTTTCTGAAGAACTGAAGAACATATCAATTGTGGAGAGAAATATTCTTTCTGCTGCAGGCCTTGTTTCAGTTATCATCTAGGGCAGGGGTAGGCAACCTTGGCTCTTTTATGACTCGTGGACTTCAACTCCCAGAATTCCTGAGCCAGCATGGCTCAGCTTGGAAACCTCTCCCTTTCCCCTCAGCATGGCTGGCTCAGGAATTCTGGGAGTTGAAGTCCATGAGTCATAAAAGAGCCACGGTTGCCTACCCCTGATCTAGGGTTTTCTTCTACTGTACACGTTTCACACTCTAATTGTAAAACTGCAGACGTGAGTCCCTGATGAGTGCAACACTAATTAGGTTAGCCAGAGGAAGCCCCTTAAAAGGTGCACGCACTCGCTGAGCTATGTCTCAGCACTTTGGAGAGAGGGCCTTTTTATGTCACCTTCCCTCAAGATTCACACTTGGTTCCCACACTTTTTGTCTTGCAGGAAGCAGCCAAAAATCTCTTTTATAGGCAAGGTCTTTTGAGTGTAGCTTTTTTTATCCACTTGTAGTTGTTTCAACCTTGGATTTATTTTTATTGTTATCTGTTTACATCCTAGGATTTGAAAGATATGCTAAAGAGGACAGTGTACAGCAATAGCAAGGCACTTAGATTTACATACCGCTTCACAGTGCTTTACAGCCCTCTCTAAGCAGTTTACAGAGTCAGCCTATGGCCCCTAACAATCTGGCTCCTCATTTTACTGACCTTGGAAGGATGGAACCTTGAGACAGTCGGAATTGAACTCCTGGAGTGAGCAGTGAGTTAGCCTGCAGTGCTGCATTCTAACCACTGTGCCACCAAGTCTCTATGCAATATTTTGATGGGAAGTTAACAAAAACTGATGATTTTTTTCCCAGTTAATGCATTGGTAATTCCTTCTAGCACTAAAGATGTCAGGATTTTGTAACCATTGGTCTCTAATATCTTTAAGGGGTTATACTATACTTTAGTTCAACAGATGCCCCATAATTTATAAAGATATTCTTTCTGGATTCTTACTAAACCATTTGCTAAAATGCGTGGCAACAGCAGAAACTATATAACTTTGATCCTAAGTCAAAAATTGAACTACCTTGGTTTAATATCATGAACACTTTCTTGCGTATGAGTATAAATGTAATTTAGAAATGAATACAATTGCAAATTGTCAGTGTGAGAGATTGCAGCAGTACTTGTCTGTCTGTGTTTGTTTGCATAGAAACAAGAACAAGATACCTGAGTCATTAGTAACCGCAATGTTTATGTGTACCAAATTTAAAGTAGCTTTCACAGTAAGAAATACTGATTCTAGCATGAGGTCTGTAAGACCCTTGACTGGCAAGTAGATCCCAAAATGTATACAGATACATTTTGACTCATAATAGTTCATTTAATGACCGTTCAAAGTTACAACAGCACTGAAAAAAGTGGTGGGATTCAGCCAGTTCGCACCACTTTGGCAGAACCGGAAGCTAATTTTTTGTTGCCCAGGCCCAGAATGGACTTCCGGAAGCAACATCCACACAGAGAACCGGTTGTTCACATATTTGAACCCCACCACTGCTTATGACCTTTTTTCACACTTGTTGCCTCCCTATGATCATGTGATCAAAATTTGGATGCTTTGCAACCGATTCATACTTATGACGGTTGCAGTGTCCTGGGCTCTTGTGATCATATTTGCGACCTTCTGACAAGCAAAGTCAGTGGGAAAGCCAGATTCATTTAACAACCACGTTACTGACTTAACAACTGCAGTGATTCACTTAACATTTGTGGCAAAAAAGGGGGCAAAATTCACTTAACAAATGTCTCACTTAGCAACAGAAATTTTGGGCTCAATTGTGGTCGTAAGTCAAGGACTACCTGTATTCTATGGATAAGAAACAGGATTCACATGAAGAATTGTTGTTTTTTTATTTTCCATTCTGAAAGAGCCAGACCATTACATACACTAATTCATTTGCCAAATCTGAAAAACACTGATTTAGACCAATTTAGCCTCATTTTGCCATTCTTCCTATAAGAAAACAACAGCCTCTGTCAAGCCTTCCTTCAACATTACCCCTTCCCCCCCCCACCATCTTCCTGCAATTTACCTACCTTGCTAAATTAGTGGAAACTGCTTTATTGCTTTTAACGGGAGACATGTGAGCATTTGCTCATGAGGCGTGCATGGGCATGTGCGTTGTCACTAACAAAGCAGTCTCACCACTTGCTATTTCTCAATGGAGGCTGTTTAAAAGATTTCTTTCCTGTATTTTTCCGCTCAGCTTTCTCAGAGCTCTTCTCTCATGCTGTTTTTGTAATTTCGTACAAGTACATTATGCCAGGGGGAAAAAATGTCTGAAATGTAATACTTGATAATTTTGTAAATTTCTTTATCATTTTGGAAGGGATGCTTAGTGACAATTTGCCAAATGCTGACAGCACTGAGATGATAGGAAATTGAGCTCACTGTGGCTTGGATTGTCCTATAACACAAACCATATTACTTGTAAGACTCTAAGCTATCTTTCGTATTCTTTGTTCTTTCTTAAACTTTACACATTTGATGATATCGTGCATCTGCTTCAAGTAATAAGAGAAAATACTTTCTCTCAAGCATGTGCTCTACAATTTTTTTTCCCTTACGTCTCAGACTTTAAGAATCAATTTGCAAATGGGTTTTGGGGGCAATTCCTGATTTGCACCTGCTTCCTACTGTCTCCTTTACAAAGTCTACAAAACATTTCAATGCTCTTGGCTAAACTCTTAGTAAATCAGAACAGAAAATCTGGCTACTGACTACAAATACTTACTACTGTACTTAATAAGAGTCAAACCAAATGTCTGTCTAATTCACATTCTATGAATTCTTGCAGAATAAGGGGGCACTGGAATAAACCATCTAGAGCAGCAGCCCCCAATCTTTTGGGCACCAGGGACCGGTTCCTTGGAGATAGGCTTTTCTGCAGACTGGAGGGGCCGTGGGTTTGCGTACTGCCTGCATCCCATGGATGCGGCTTCGTTTGTTTAAGCGGCCCAGTTTCTGGTGCTGGTCCACAGATTGGGGGTTGGGGACCCCTGATCTAGAGCACTTTGCCCTAATATGTTATGTGTCCACTAAGGAGGTGCACTTATGCCTGGGATTGTCAGGGTAGAATCTTTTCATTGAGATTTTCCAGAGGAAATGTTTTAAAGTCTTTTCTTTAACAAACTCTTGGAATTGGTTGGGTTGCCAAATGACAGAAATGCACATCAAGATGGGTCTTTTATACAACGACGTCCTCAAACTCAGTTCAGTTGTTTTTGATTTCGGGGGGAAATAAAAGCCATTAGCTTATATGGCTTTGGAGAACATGACTGCTGGCATAGGATCTGAACAAATTCCAATTACATGTTCCTGATGATTCCCCTTGTCTGAGATAATGGTCAGATTTAGCTTCTTTCCATATATATACCTGCGTACTCATAGAATTGAAATGGAACCACTCAAAATTCATTTTTTTTTCTATTTGTATGAGCCCGATCCCTTATCAGCCCAGCCCTGAATCTGTGTAGCTTTTCTTTGGCCTTATTTGACTATGTTCGAACACCAGGACCAAGGTTGGACATAACAGATGATACAAGAAGATGATGTGCACATTGAATAATTTCTGCATGCTTACAGTCTCAAAGCTTCTCCTTCCTGTTCCCTCCATCTTTTTATCCTGCAGGGATTATTGAAGATTATAAACCTCCTTTCTTTGACTTGGTTCCAGTCGACCCCAGCTTTGAAGACATGAAAAAAGTGGTTTGCATTGACCAGCAGACACCCACCATTCCCAATCGGATGTTCTCTGACCCAGTGAGTGATGCAATCTGTTAGAAAGATAACTTTTAGCAGTTTGTGTTGTTAACAGGAGGGGGTTCCTGTTGTTTCAAAAAGGACGCTTGTTGAGCTAGGACTGCTGCGTGGCCATCAACTTCCAGACTAGGGGCAGAAGCAAAGAAAGCATCTTGTACCATGCCAGCATAGGAATCAGGCTTCCCAGTTAGATCTATTGAACAGTTTGGGGAAACAGAAGCCTCTTCCATGCAGGAGGGAAGCTATGCCCTATCCCAATGATGCCATGTATCTGTCTTGGAAAGATGAGATGATTTACCCCATCAGTTAATTCACTCGCCTTCTTCTCTGAGAGAGCTGTTCTGATGGCCGCTTTTAGCACTTCCTCCAAAGCAGTGTTCCTTAGCCTAAGCAACTTTAAAATGTGTAGACTTCAGCTCCCAGAATTCTTCAGCCAACATGCTGACTAGGGTATTCTGGGAGTTGGAAGTCCACAAATTTTAAAATTGCAAGGTTGAGAAACTCTGCTCTACAGCTGCAGGGTAGGCATTTCCCTATAAGGATTCCTACTCTCGCTACACAAGGGCTGCTGTGCCTTGGTGTTATTCCCCTAGCCCAGGGGTAGGCAACCTTGGCTCTTTTATGACTCATGGACTTCAACTCCCAGAATTCCTGAGCCAGCCATGCTAGCTCAGGAATTCTGGGAGTTGAAGTCCACGAGTCATAAAAGAGCCAAGGTTGCCTACCCCTGCCCTAGCCTAGGAGAATTCTGGGCTACCCCACCACATTATGGCTCTGTTAACTATTTAATTTATTAATGACATTTACGTGGCAACCCATTTCACAAAAAGTGACTTTGGACAGCATACAACAATCAACAAAATAAAAAATAATTATAATCATTATAAAAATATCAAATCATTATTAAAACCAAAACACCACTATAAACAATTAAATATACAAACCACACAGAGCGAGTAAAAAGATCAAATCATGGTGGAGACATCTAGGAATATCTCTAATTCCCCCATATTTTACTTACCGTGGACAGAAATGAGGATTGAGACTATTAGAGCATCAGTTGTTTCCCATTCTTTAAGCGACCTCATGCTCTGCTTGAAGGACTGCTTTGTAAGGTTGCTGCAAAAATTATGAGGTGGATTTGAGAGGCAAACTCTCTCTGCAGGGGAACTTCTAAAGAAATAATATTTCTAACAGTTCAGATTGCCAGTCTTCCATGTGAAGATTCATCATATAGCTTTGTCTCTTCTAGTTAGCCAGAAGACACTGTGCCCATATGCGTCTTGCCCTTTCCAGTTCTCTATCCAATCTTTTTTCTACATTTTCTGTCTTTTTTCTTTTTGTTACAAAAACCAATATTCTACGACTGTAGAACATCTGCCAGAGATAGGGCTGAATGAATGAAGCCAAGGGACAGGGAAGAAAATCCATGACTTGCTCTCTGTTTTCAGATTTGATAGCTGGCAAATCAGTTGCAGGACCTATTCGTGACTTTTATAGGACAGAGAAGTGCAGATTGTGTTGTAAATTATGACTTCAGATCCCTGGGAGAGAATCTTGGCACTGGTTCAGGGAAAGAAAGAAAAAAAAAAGAATGCAAAGATAAGACAAGCAGGAAAAAACGTGGGCAGCGGTTGCTGGAATCCCAGAAGCTAGAGGGGAGGATGACCAGGGCCTTGGGTGGTCAGGAGATAAAATGCCAGCACAAAGCTATTCACCCTCCTTATAATAAACCACACATGGAAACAATGATAAGGGGTTGTTTGTTGCATTACAGGCCACCAAACTGAGGTTTCCTTCACGTAAACAAGGGTGTGCCCCAATTAGCAATTGAATTTGAACAGGGCCATTATCTTAATTAAGCCAGGGATACATGAAGAGCCAGCATCATTGAACTTGAGCACCATTTCATTCCTTGAAGAGTCCTGTCCACTATTTTACTGCATAAAGAAAGCTTTTCCTTCCAGAAACCACTAAATGGTAAATATCTCATTTTGTCCTTAAACCGAATTAGGTGGTCAGATAGCAAATAGCTCAAGATCACCTGATGAACCTCCTGACTGAGGTGGATTTCCTTGGGCCAAGCATTTCTGTGGCATACCATTGACTGCTAAGACACTAGGGCAGGGGTAGGCAACCTTGGCTCTTTTATGACTCGTGGACTTCAACTCCCAGAATTCCTGAGCCAGCATGGCTCAGCATGGAAACTTCTCCCTTCCCCTCAGCATGGCTGGCTCAGGAACTCTGGGAGTTGAAGTCCACGAGTCATAAAAGAGCCACGGTTGCCTACACCTGCACTAGGGGAAGGGGAGTCGATAGTGGGTTTTTTTTATACAGGTAGTCCTCAGCTCACAACTACAATTACAACAAATTTCTACTGCTAAATGAGTTGGTTAAGTGAATTTCGCCCCATTTTATGACCCTTTTTGCCACAGTTGTTAAGTGAATCACTGCAGCAGTTAATTTAGTAACACAGTTATTAAATGAATCTGGCTTCCCCCCATTGACTTTGCTTGTCAGAAGGTCGCAAAAAGTGATCACATGACCCTGCAACCGACATAAATATGAGTCAGTTGCCAGGCATCTGAATTTTGATCATGGAGATCCTACAAAGTGTGAAAAATGGTCATAAGTCACTTTTTCAATGTCATTGTAATCTCGAATGATCACTAAATGAACTGTTGTAAGTCGAGGATAGCCTGTACTTTATCTGGAAAGGAGACAATGGAACACAAATTGGAGTGGAGTATTCCGTAATTTAGAAACTCTTCCCAGACCATCATTGCCAGCTACCCGAAGCCTTGAAACACAAATAACCTATCCTCAATACTAAAGTCACATGTTAGCATATGTTAGCCAAAACTGTACCACGTCCTCCTGATTATGTAACTTTTTCCTATAACATGGGAAATTCCGTAATGTCATCACACCAGCGATATGCTGAGATGACACTTTTAGAGCTGACATTTATTTGCGTGCCTAATGAAGCAATAGCATAACTTCGCTGCACACCCAGGAAGAAAGAAAAACAAATGCAAATAGACCCAACCATTTTCGCTGATGTTACTCTAAAGTTACAACAAATAGGGATGAAGTCGCTCACATTGTCCTTTGCCAAAGATTAAATATTTCTAGTGATGGAGTACCCTTCACAAGATGCACCAATGCACCAATCTTGCCTAGATTATTGCAAGAATGGTTTGCAAAGGCTGCCTTGGAAGACCACTCAGAAGCTTCATCTCATCCAAACTATGACGGCGCAAGCAGTTAAAGGCATGCCATTGATTGCTAAACATAGGGAGTGCAGGCGGCTGCAGGTTCACTGTTGAAAAACCTGGATTCCTTTGCAGATTACCCATCGTTTGGGAGCCGGCACTCATCTACTAAGTTTTAACCCTTTTTAATGCCCAAGTAGAACAGTTTCTTTCCTTCCCTGTCCATCTGTCTCCTGTGCTTGTTCATCTCTCTGTTTTGTTCCTGCCTTCCTCTTTGTTTCTTTCCCAGCTCAGCTACCATTTTTCCTTGCCTCTCCCCATTCTTTTTTCTTTTTTTTTAAATGTGCGGGTTTATTTGAAAAAAGGATGTGTCTGTGCACAAGCATATACAGTGACTATCTAATGACCATTCAAAGTTACAACAGCACTGAAAAAACTGACTTATGACTGTTCTTCGCACTTAACGACCATTGCACCATCCGTATGGTCACGAGATCAAAATTCGGGCACTTGACAACTGGTTCATATTCATGACGGTTGCACAATGTCCCAGGGTCATATGATCATCTTTTGCGACCTTCTGACAAGCAAAGTCAACGGGGAAGACAGATTCATTTAACAACGGCATTACTAACTTAACAATTGCAGTGATTCCCTTAACCCAGTGGTTCTCAACCTGTGGGTCGGGACCCCATTTGGGGTCGATTGACTATTTCACGGGGGTCGCCAAGCAAGGCTGTCCGCCATTTTTTTTGTCCGCCATTTTTTTGTCCGCCATTTTTTCCCCCTTTTCCGGCGGGTGCCTTACCTCCCTTGGGCTGGGCCAGCTGGTGGTCGGCCTGCTCCGTCTCTGCTGCTTGCCAGCTATGCCTCGGCCGGTGCAGGGGGCGGAACCACGCATGTGCGGCGCTCCCGGGCAGGGAAAGTCCTCGACTTACGTCCAGTTGGGTAGTCCTCGACTTACGACTGGTTTAGTCCTCGACTTACGACCGGTTTAGTCCTCGACTTACGACCGGTTGGGGTCGCGGCATTAAAAAGGTTGAGAACCACTGGTCTTGGTACCTGCATAATGAGGGATGAGGGATTGAATCTGTTACTGCCCCGCTGAGGTGATCTGCCCTCAGAACACAATCTGTGAATGGCAGCTTATGGAGAGTCTGGAAAACACCATGCCTAGTAGGTTCTACTCCGACTTTCATTTCAAAGTGTACAGAGCTTCCTGTTTCCAACAGACATCTCCAGAAATCCCTGCTCCATCAGATAAAGGGAGGCTTATCGCTACATTCTGTCTCCTATAGTCTGGAGACATTAGCTTCTCAAATGCATTCTAAATCCTCAGAAGGAAATGAACCTTTCATTTCCTCGGCTTTTTTCCCCTTCTTCGGGGAGATTTGCTTGCTAGTTGCAGATATAGCAGCTTATATAGTTGAATGAAGCCAACTGGGTGGCCTTGTACCAGTCATTCTGTCTCAGCTTTAGGCAGGAGGCAATGGCAAACCACTTTTGAAAAATCTTGCCCAGAAGAAGAAAAAAAAACTGCAGGGACTTGTCCAGTCACCAGAAGCTAACATTGACTTGAAGGCACCCTTCCCACCAAACAAACATATTTAATAAACTCCTGCTTAGAACAGTGATGGCGAACTTTTTAGAGACCGAGTGCCCAAACTGCAACCCAAAACCCACTTATGCATTGTCGGGTGCCGGGTGGGTGTGGCCCACTGGGTGGGTGTGGCCCACTGGGTGGGCATGGCTGCGGTGGTACAGCAGACTGGGTGGAACTAAAAAGTTCAATCAATCAATTCCAACTTTGCAAGATCTTTTTTTTTCCATGAGAAGTTGAAATTGACTGATTGACTGAACCTTTTTTTTTTTTGTACACGGCAGCGGAGGCCTAAAGCTAAAAGGTTTTCTAAAACCCAGCTGAAGACCTAGGACTGGGGCGATGGCATGCGTGCCCACAGAGAGGGCTCTGAGTGCCACCTCTGGCACCCGTGCCATAGGTTCGCCACCACTGGCTTAGAAGCTCGTGTATTTATTTATATCCCACCTTTATTAACTTTATAAGGTGGCAAACATACATAATACTCCTATTTTCCTCACAACAAAAACCTGTGAGGTGGGTCAGGCTGAGAGAGCGTGATTGGCCCAAGGTCACTCAGTTGACTTTCATGTCTAAGGAGGGACTAGAAATCCCAGGCTCCTGGTTTGTAGCTTGGTATCTTAACCACTAGACCAGGGGTAGGCAACCTTGGCGCTTTTATGACTCGTGGACTTCAACTCCCAGAATTCCTGAGCCAGCATGGCTGGCTCAGGAATTCTGGGAGTTGAAGTCCACGAGTCATAAAAGCGCCAAGGTTGATTACCCCTGCACTAGATCAAACTGACTCTCAAATAAGCTGCAAGCCATATTGAGGAAAAAATAAATAAAAGGAATTGTATAGCACTAAGATCTTTTCTACATTATCATGTGTCACAAATGGAAATTGACCAAGTTTGACCCTATCAGAGTAGTAGAGAGATTTTCATATTTGAATCTGTGTTGATGAAGGCACATCAATTGGCTCAACTGCTGTTTTGCTGCAGAGATAAACCATGACAATAAAATCATTTATATTATATCTTACCAAACTTCAGTCTCTCCCCCCCCCCCCCAATTCTTTAACATGTGTCTATCCCGTTCTTTGGCTGCTACAGTTTATATGTACTGGTCAGATAGGACACCTAGGAATAATTTTGTGAACTCCAGTGCTAAAATTCTTTCTTCTACATTTCAACCAGAATACCAACAAAATCACTGGTGCTACAACAGACCTTCCAACTAAAACTGAGTAGTTTTGGGGGGCAGATCACCCTAGTAGACCTGCCCTTATTGGACATGAGATGCAGATATAATGCAACCTTAATCAAAGACTGAGCCACTTATGACAATCAAAAGTTCTAAGGTACAGGTAATCCTCAACTTACAACCACAATGGAACCCAAAATTTCTGTTGCCAAGAAAGACAGTTGTTAAGTGTATTTTGCCCCACTTTATAACCTTTCTTGCCATAGTTGTTAAGTGAATCACTGCAGTTCTTAAGTTAGTAACCCGGTTGTTAAGTGAATCCGGCTTCCCCACTGACTTTGCTTGTCAGAAGGTCGCAAAAGCTGATCACATGACTCCAGGACACTCCACCCGTCATAAATATGAATCAGTTGCCTAGCATCTGAATTTTGATCACATGACCACGGGGATGCTGCAATGATCGTAAGTGTGAAAAAGGGTCATAAGTTACTTTTTTCAGTGCCGTTGTAAATTTGAACTCTTGTAAGTTGAGAACTACTTGTATTCCTACCAAACAAACATCTGCCTGATCTGAATGAGAATATAAACTAAGCATTTGATTTTTGTTGTGTGTTGACATTATAGCTATCCTTGATGCTATAGACTTCTGAATTGCTCCAAAATTCAGACACTGAGAATATGACTATACCGCTCCTAGATATCATAAATCTAGAAAACTTCAGCATCAACTCCAAAGCTAACTCTGACTGAAATTCTGTCAGGCAATAGGAAACAACATGACAATGTTAATTCCTTAATTTATCCTGGATCCAGAGCTTCTATCCTTATAGACCCTAACTCTGATTGTGGCACCAAGTTCAACAAATACCATCCCTGACTTCCACCTCATATTAGCAAGTAGGCCTTAAAAACAGACGGACCATCCTTTAAAACGTATAAGAAAGTCTCATAGTCCCACCCTTGTAAAGAGTAGTGATCACAGCATGATGTACAATCCCAACATCGGGGACTTATTCAGTAAACCATAGTTAAACTGTGTCAAGCCTTTGCTCAGGATGGGAGTCCAGTGCGTACACATGCAAGATTCTAGTTGTGTAGAATTTTGGAAAATGTATTAAGTCTAGATTTTGATTCTAACTATCCCTTCTCTTTCCCTCACCCCCCCTCACCTTCCAGGCTTTATCTTCCCTAGCTAAGATCATGAAAGAATGCTGGTTCCAGAGTGCACCAGCAAGACTCACAGCTCTGAGGATTAAAAAGACACTGAAAAAACTCAGCAACTCCTTCCACAAAGGCAAATACTCTCCTAGCTTCTAGGACCAGAGATTGGATTTCTAACTCCTTAGCTCAAAGGAAGTTCAAGGTCACCCCTTCAAAGTTTCCTGCTGGTCCTGGCCTCTGTCTGTGACTTCAGTAAACCTCCTTTGAAACTTGACCAAGAGGATTTGGACTAGAGCTGTATGGTTCAAACTGACTCTCTGCAGGGAAGTTTCACAGAACAGATGACAGCTTCTGGAATCCTTAATTTGTTCCTCTAGCAACAAAAGGAGGGGGGCATGCCCACGTTTTAGAGAATGTACATTAATATAAATACTCCCTGGATCTGTAACCTGACGCCAGCCCGTCTCGCCACCAAATCCTGAAAAATGGGAGGGATCCTACTTGCAAAGAACACAGCTGCTATGCCCAAAGGGGTGGCTGCCTTTGAAACGCCAGTTAAGGATCATTTGCAAGGTAGTGTTTAGATTGAACATATAAAGTCTGTTCGTGCCTCTAGCTGTGTGTGCATGCATGTGCATACATGTGTGCAGAGGAGCCATTTCAAAAGTGCATGCAATGGTTTAAAGGGGCAGATACAACTATGCAAACGTTTATGCCAGATAAATCTGAGACCGCTATGGGAATACGACAGTTCTGTCTGTCCATATGTGAACATGGTCAGCGTGATATTGCTTTGCTTGTATGTAGTCATGATTTTTTTTATATATAAGTCTTAATTTAATAGCACAAGGCTCCAAAATGGCTTTCCATCCTGTAATTGATTTTAGAACCAGACCTGACTAGCCCTGTCATATAATCCCAGAACATGATCAGTAGAAACAGGGTGTAGCATCCATGCTGAACAGAGCTGGTTTTACTCTCATTATGGATGGAAGACAACTAGTGAACCTTACGCACACGCACACACATGCACACATATGCATTTTTTTTCCTGCATTTGAATCCAGCAAGAGTTAAGCATCACCAACACTATAATGTTCAGCCACTGCAGCTTTTCTTAGGAGTCGTCATTTTTTTTTAGGCAATTTGGAACCAAGGTGAATGTCCAACAGCTGGATTTGCATATGAATACATCAACTTAATTTTGAGAAATTTAAGTATGCAGATGCAATATGAGGCAAAAGTCTAACCAAATAAAAACTTCACCCTTTTGATTTTAAGATGGGGGTGAGAGGAATGGGCCCTATCTAAAATATAAGCTGGGTCAAACATTACTCTTTCCACTTGGTGTTACTGTATTGCATGGACGAGTTGCAGTAGCTGTAAGCTACACAAACCCTGTGCACAAACTGAGTCCAATAGTTCCACTAAGACTGAGATGGGTAGATTCCTTCTTGACATGCCAGATACATCTATAAGTGAACAAATTGCAAAGGCTAAGGCCTGTCCTTGTAAAATTACTATTTTGAATAAAAGGGTGGAAGGTGGAAAACATTTGCAACATTTTAATCAGGCCTAAGACTGAACGTCTGAATAGCCTATTACAAGACAAGACAAAGCATTAACAGGAAAGTGTAATGGGGAAGGCCTCTTCATTCAGGAGAATTGTGCTAACATCTCCAAGGAATTAGCTTTCTATGTCTTAGAAATGTATATCAGCATATAACATATCCAGGATAGCTGAGTAGAACCGAGTGAAAAACACATAATCTCATTTCATCCAAAGCCTCTAAATTGATTTGAGATCATTACTAATTTGCACAGAAATTATTTTTGTATTTATTAAACATGCTCGGGGGGGGGAGGTGGGAAATCAGCAGCTTTTTGATATTGTTTGCAAAAATGTTCCAAAATAACTGGGTCCTGACAAAGATTCTATAATGGGAAAGAAGGATGAGAGACACAAATTAACAAAGGAGGACAAAGAGTTTCAAGGGAGAAAACAACAGTTTTTTGTTTTTGTTTTTAAAAAGCTACAACTCCACTCAGAGACCACTTAAGTCCCATTAGGACTAACAGGAGTCAAGTGTTCTAAATGCACTCCCAGATGGCAAGTAATAATTAAACTATGCCTTTTCTTTCAGCTCATAAAAATGAGTGGTGCATGCAAGCTTGCTGGATTACAGTAGTTTAAAACAGGAGAGGGAAAAAAACGTATTTGTTGAGGGACACATCCAAAGCTGAATTGGAATCTGAATCCAGGATTTCCTCTAACAAACATCTGCTTGTCAAAGTCTTTTTTGACATTTGCCATCAGATACTTCAATAAGGCTGATTGAAAATATATCTATGATACTGGGAAGCTAGTCTCATTGATTTTCAGGAAATTGCACGCTTAATGCTCTTTGGCTTTTAGATGCACATAGTATTTTATAAATAAAACCTAAAAATGTCAGCAATAAATGTACAGTAATAAAAAAGGTTTTGCAGATATACCTATCATATACGAATCAGAGGTAGGGTTAGCTGCGGGATGCTTGTCAAACATCCACAAATGCACAGTTTGTCTGGGTTCAATCCTGATCTTTTGGGATAAAGATAGAAAAGTTAACACCACTTTTAGTCAGCTTGTAGAATCCTGAACTAGACAGTTTCTTATGTTCCTAAGTGCTCAACAGCTGCATGATTTCATAGCCAATTGCTTGCTGATTGCAAACTGCTGTTTATCCAGGATAGATGAGTGTCCAAAATATTGTGGCTGGCTCCATGTTTTTATTAGTCTAGGAAGTTTTGAATTCCATGTAGTACAGGCTGGAATTTTTATCGTTGTTTCCCCATTAAGAACCCAACCAATTTTTCAGCTTTGATAATGGATTTTGTACAAAGCTGCAAAATAGCACATTGATAAACCAAGAAAATACTATGTTGGATGCATCTGCTATTCCAAACCATCATCTCAGCCTATTTTCTAGCAAAACGGTACCCCCGCAGCCCTCCAATTGGCACAGAAGCTTAGCTGTATATTTATTTTAATCAGAAGCTTGCCCATGTGAATCAATAACATATGTAGTAATAAGTCTACATATCCAAACAGCTCTGATCAAAAGTAATTAAGCATAAATCATTCCATGTGCTGAAAGAAGCCCTCATGTGCAGACTCTAAACTCAGGGACAAATCTCAGTCTAAGCTAAATATGGATTTGATAAAAAAGAAAAAAAACCTCTGGTCTCCATAGCCACTGACACTGATAGCAGAAATGTGCAAAGCTGCAGGAAGAGAAATTTAGGTTAACTACGCAGATAGGTCCAATTTAGTACACACATGTTTCTCTCATGCATACGGGATCATAATTAGGAACCATAAGAGAGAATAGATGGATTTTTTCCCCCTCAGCATGTGTTCAGAAATCCCTCTATTATTTTCTTTGCATGTCCATCCTGGCATCTGATTGTTGAAGGACCAATGGCTGCACACTGCCAAAGCGCTGCCAATATTGTTCATATACTGTAGCTTCTCACTGTTTAGTTTACATTCTTTTCTTCACCCTGTAAACATTAGGTAACACTGAAAATGATTAGGCATTCATAGTTAGATTTACAAGTCAGCTGTGAATGAGCCCTGTGCACAACTCTTATACAATGTCCGTAATTTTTCAGTGAATATGTGAAGTTTTGGTATTCATGTAATGTACGCGCTCATGTCTCTGTTCAGACCTCGATTCATTTTGATAGAAAGGTAGATGGATCCTATAGCTCAGTGGTTCTCAAGGACACCCAGCCCTGGGGTAAACCCCAGCTAGCTGGTAAAGTACCCCCAGCGGTTCGTTCCGACAGGCGGTAAAAAAAACAGGCGGTAAAAAAAACAGGCGGTAAAAAAAGGGGAAAAGGCCGCCCACGGAATGGAGGGAACCCGACCCGGTCGACCACCAGCCGGACGAGGCAGAGACGGCGATGCCAGCTACGCCTCAGCCGGCGCAGGGGGCAGAACCACGCATGCGCGGCGCTACCGAGCAGGGAAAGTCCTCGACTTACGACCGGTTGGGTAGTCCTCGACTTACGACCGGTTTAGTCCTCGACTTACGACCGGTTGGGGTCGCGGCATTAAAAAGGTTGAGAACCACTGCTATAGCTGATAATACACCAAAAGTTGTTCCTAGTCTTGCGTAACTACATTAACACAAGATATAACTTTAATTCAGGGTCAGGCAAAGTGGTACCCCCAAGCTCTCTGTCCCACCTGATTTTTATGCTTTTTTAATTCTTTTTTTTTAAATAGACAATAGGAAACAGGCATGCTGCAATGCAAAGCAAAATGCTCTAGCACCATATTAATTTGGAGCAATGCCTTTGGGCCCATAAAGGCCCACTGGGAGAGTAGAAAGTACACTGGGGGGGCTGGGGGGAGAGGGAGTGTGTTCTCTGGCTAAATGGGCATTTGGGGACTACCCTTGCTCATAACAGCAGCCATTATCAAAACAGGCAAGTCCGTCTGGGGGCCCTTTGGGGAGTAAAGCTTATCATGTGCTCTCAACATTATGCATGCGCCCCTAGGCTGAGTCCACCTCCTTACTTGGTTAAGGCAATCTCAGTCTGACTGAAGACCCTGAGCCCATACACAGTGATTTCATTGTCTCCTTGCAGGAAACGCTGCCAATCCCCTGTCATACTTGTCATGCAAACTTTGATCTTCCAGCATTTGTGTACCCTGAATGATTTCAGTGATAGTTGGCTGTTCTTTGATGGGCCTTTTCAGCCTTCTAATAAACTTTTGATTTTCCTTAATCCAGTAAAGCTGTAATTGCATTTGCGTGGGGATAAACCTTACTGAACTCTGCAACCCTAACTCCGAGAAAGCGAATAGGCTGTAAACCCACTCCGAGATACGATATGACTATTTTGTTAAAAAATCTTTTCTGTTCAGCTTCGAGTTTAGAGGGTCAAATAGACTTACCAAGAAGCAACTCCCATCACTATATACGTGGTGCTTACATCTGAGTTGACAGGGATAAAACTGTCCTCTAATTTATGGATACTCTGTTGTTCCATACAAAAAGCTGCAGGGATTATATCCCTTTTTTTTTTAACTAGAGCAAAATCTAGAAGAAACAACTGTGAAATCCTAAGGATGAAAAATAAAGATGAGACACCAGGAAAAC